ATCTAATCTTCAGCTCCAGAACAACGTTTCAGCATCTCAATGAACCCACTAAAGGTTCTCATCTGGAATGCTAACGGCATTTCACGGAAAGCAAAAGAGGTTGAGCTCTTCGCGCACAAGAATAGCGTTGACATTCTTCTTTTGACGGAGATCAGAATTAAAAGAGGGGCAGCTGTTAAAATACATGGATATGCCTTCTATCCAGCCTTCAAGCCATCGCGGAATAATAATAGCGTTGGTGGAGTTGCGGTTTTAGTTAAGACTTCGCTTCGTCATTTTCCACAAAGGGTCATTGAGACACGCAGCATGCAAATGTCAGCAGTAAAAGTAGCCACAGGACTGGGCGATGTGGAGTTCAGCGCCATTTACTGCCCTCCCAGAGTCAGGATTGAGGAATTGAGGATTGGTTGGTGGTGACTGGAATGCCCGACACTGGCTGTGGGGAGACACTTACAATTCCCCTAGGGGGCGAGAGCTAGCGGAAGCCATCTCTGCTACTGGCGCTAAGATCCTTGCAACTGGATCACCAACCAGGTACCCATATGCACTCAATCACACGCCGTCCTGCATAGACTTCGCAGTACATCATGGTATTCCGGATTCTCGAGAAACAATAAGTCAGAGCTGGGATCTGGACTCCCACCATCTGGCCTTAGTCATCAGCATTAAAACAGATGGCACTATAAAACCAAAAACGCAGAATCGTAGAGAATGACCATATCTATTAGACTGCAGAATCTGAATTGGATCGTATTATTATTATAGCCAGGCGGCTTTTCTTAGAGTAAAACATTAGCGCCTAGATCTCAGAGACTATAAAAGCTAGAGCAACCAAATTTGGTGTCCACACTCCTAATATATCGGACCGAGACGATTTTGTTTCAAAATTTCGACACACCCCCTTCCGCCCACGCAAAGGATGCAAATCTGGGGATATTCACAAATCTCAGAGACTATTAAAGCTAGAGTAACCAAATTTGGTATCCGCACTTCTGTTAGATCTCACTATAAAACGTATATCTCAAAATTTCGCCCCACCCCCTTCCGCCCCCACAAAGGACGAAAATCTGTTGCATCCACAATATTGCAGATTTGAGAAAACTAAAAACGCAGAATCATAGATACCGACCATATCTATTAGATTGCTGAATTTGGATCAGATTAGATCATTTTTATAGCCAAAGGAAACAAATCAATTTTTAGTGGCTACGCAGCGCCCGACGTCACGCTCAGACTGACTTTTTGTCTCTCTCGCACGCACTCTTTGTCGTGTCGTTTAATATTAGCGGCGTCTGCCGGAGGAGAGCCATACTGACTTAGTATCGGGTATAACTCTAGAGTTGCGGTGTCCGCAGCAACTCACAACGTTCCCCCTCGTTTTTTTTTTTTTTTTTTTTTTTTTGTACCCGATACTCAAAATGAGTATTGGGGTATATTAGATTTGTGGTAAAAGTGTATGTGTGTAACGTCCAGAAGGAATCGTTTCCGACCCCATAAAGTATATATATTCTTGATCAGCATCAATAGCCGAGTCGATTGAGCCATGTCTGTCTGTCCGTCTGTCCGTCCCCTTTCAGCGCCTAGTGCTCAAAGTCTATAAGAGCTAGAGCAACGATGTTTTGGATCCAGACTTCTGTGATATGTCACTGCTCCAAAAATATTTCAAAACTTTGCCCCGCCCACTTCCGCCCCCACAAAGGGCGAAAATCTGTGGCATCCACAATTTCGACGATACGAGAAAACTAAAAACGCAAAATCGTAGAAGATGACTATATCTTCTAGAGTGCAAAATCTGAACCAGATTGTATAATTATTACAGCCAGAATCACGAAAACAATTTCACTCTTTCTCGCTCTGTCTCACTCTAACACACAGGTTTCATGGTCGGTTTTGCCAATTGCAAAATATGAGTTCAAGGATCTCAAAACCCTTAAGAGCTAGAGCAAACAAATTTGGTATCCACACTCCTGTGATATCGGACCTTGACCGTTTTGCGTCAAAATTTCGCCACACCCCCTTCCGCCCACACACAGGCAATCAGAATTGTTGAATAAAGCAGGCACTCATACTGTAAAGCCAGGCCGAGGCTGCTGGCCGAAATACCCTTCAGAATGTCGAATGCCAACCCCAATGACAACAACAACGAGCAGCCCCCAGCCGCCAAGAGGCAGCGATTGTCAGATGTTGCAAGTAAAGATGAAAGTACTTTGAATGAGATTTCGACTACTATGGACAGCAGTGAGGGTGAGGTCGGCGGGTCCTCGGGTGGTGGCGTCTCCGATCTTCGTGAGCGACTGCATAACATACTGGTGTGCGTTGTGTGCCGCGAGGTTCCACAACCACACGACTTCTATCAGTGCAGCCATGGGCATATCATGTGTGAGGATTGCAAGACCGCCGTTCTGGCTGTTGCCATCTTCAATAAAACGCGTGCCTGCTGCCCCAGTTGTCGATCGCTCATTAGAAACTACGATCAGGAGCAGAATCTAGTGGTGCGCCAGACGCTCTGGGAGCTACCCATCAGCTGCCTCAGCTGCAATGACCAGTTCTCAGATAGGAAAGATCTCTCCAGACACTTGGAGTTCGTTTGTGAGGGACTTGTGGTTTGCTGGAAGTACCACTGCGTGGGCTGTTCTTGGAAGGGCCCCTACAAGGACAGCGTCTCACATGATTCCGACTGTGGGTTTCCCCAGAAGCAGGGAAAGGAGATCCTAGATATGCTGCATGTCGAGGACAGGGAGCTTGAGGCCCAAAAGCCCGTGTTGCAGCTCCATCGGGTGCTGAGTGCTAGCCGGGTGGAATTTTTCACCTTGAGAATGAAGTGGATACACCGCTCAGAGGGTTTACACCCACGGACCCTCGAGTCTGAGGTAAGGTTTTGGAGAACCAGAACTCGTCTGCAGCATACCTCTGATGATCTCTTATCCCGATCCCCACAGACGATTCGTGCCTTTGAGGAGGATTGGGTGCTGCGTCTACGTCTGAAAAGAGCTGGGGAAAAAATCACCGTCAGCGGCCAGCTATTGCTTTCGACTACCCCACGAGTGTCCCTCATGGTTGACCATTTGATCCAGATGCCGCAGAGTGTCTGCAGCGCCAAGCAGCTGCACGACATACGCCCGCGTATCTACCGCCATATTTTCGATTCAACCGGCAAGTGCGCAAACCGCCAGGAGCTTCCCTTGGCGGGACCTCAGGCCCTGTACCGGCTATTTGCCATGACCCGGATCCAGCTCCGTTTGTGGATGTTTTTGCATTATTGAGCTGACGCTAAAAACCTTTAAATTGTGGTTTATACCTTTATTGGGCACATCTTTTGATTTGATTTTTAAATTCGTTGCTTTAGAGCTGAATTTTTAGGGTTTGGGCGCCTTCTGGATCTGCTCGTTCACAGCAAGACCTTCTTCAGCAGCAGCGTTGGCCTTATCATGGAAGTCGTGCAGAAGCAATCGAGTAAATTAGGCATACGTTTTTGTCTGGTCTGTTAAGGTCGGCTAGTGTCGGCTAGACTTACCTTAACGCTATCCTCGTTGAAAAATTCCTTGACCTTTGCCAGCAGGTCGTTGAGCTGAGCCTCCACTGGCTTGGTGGGCTCCTCACCAGGCACGCGAGCACACATGCACACCTGTAAGCAGAGTTACAGTAAAACCACAATCAGTCAAAGCAATCTTGGCTATTTTTATACCCGATACTCAAAATGAGTATTGGGGTATATTAGATTTGTGGTAAAAGTGGATGTGTGAAACGTCCAGAAGGAATCGTTTCCGACCCCATAAAGTATATATATTCTTGATCAGCATCAATAGCCGAGTCGATTGAGCCATGTCTGTCTGTCCGTCCGTCTGTCCGTCCCCTTCAGCGCCTAATGCTCAAAGACTATAAGAGCTAGAGCAACGATGTTTTGGATCCAGACTTCTGTGATATGTCACTGCTCCAAAAATATTTCAAAACTTTGCCCCGCCCACTTCCGCCCCCACAAAGGGCGAAAATCTGTGGCATCCACAATTTCGACGATACGAGAAAACTAAAAACGCAAAATCGTAGAAGATGACTATATCTTCTAGAGTGCAAAATCTGAACCAGATTGTATAATTATTACAGCCAGAATCACGAAAACAATTTCACTCTTTCTCGCTCTGTCTCACTCTAACACACAGGTTTCATGGTCGGTTTTGCCAATTGCAAAATATGAGTTCAAGGATCTCAAAACCCTTAAGAGCTAGAGCAAACAAATTTGGTATCCACACTCCTGTGATATCGGACCTTGACCGTTTTGCGTCAAAATTTCGCCACACCCCCTTCCGCCCACACACAGGCAATCAGAATTGTTGAATAAAGCACGCACACATACTGTAAAGCCAGGCCGAGGCTGCTGGCCGAAATACCCTTCAGAATGTCGAATGCCAACCCCAATGACAACAACAACGAGCAGCCCCCAGCCGCCAAGAGGCAGCGATTGTCAGATGTTGCAAGTAAAGATGAAAGTACTTTGAATGAGATTTCGACTACTATGGACAGCAGTGAGGGTGAGGTCGGCGGGTCCTCGGGTGGTGGCGTCTCCGATCTTCGTGAGCGACTGCATAACATACTGGTGTGCGTTGTGTGCCGCGAGGTTCCACAACGCGTGCCTGCTGCCCCAGTTGTCGATCGCTCATTAGAAACTACGATCAGGAGCAGAATCTAGTGGTGCGCCAGACGCTCTGGGAGCTACCCATCAGCTGCCCCAGCTGCAATGACCAGTTCTCAGATAGGAAAGATCTCTCCAGACACTTGGAGTTCGTTTGTGAGGGGCGTGTGGTTTGCTGGAAGTACCACTGCGTGGGCTGTTCTTGGAAGGGCTCCTACAAGGACAGCGTCTCACATGATTCCGACTGTGGGTTTCCCCAGAAGCAGGGAAAGGAGATCCTAGATATTCTGCTGCATGTCGAAGACAGGGAGCTTGAGGCCCAAAAGCCCGTGTTGCAGCTCCATCGGGTGCTGAGTGCTAGCCGGGTGGAATTTTTCACCTTGAGAATGAAGTGGATACACCGCTCAGAGGGTTTACACCCACGGACCCTCGAGTCTGAGGTAAGGTTTTGGAGAACCAGAACTCGTCTGCGGCATACCTCTGATGATCTCTTATCCCGATCCCCACAGACGATTCGTGCCTTTGAGGAGGATTGGGTGCTGCGTCTACGTCTGAAAAGAGCTGGGGAAAAAATCACCGTCAGCGGCCAGATATTGCTTTCGACTACCCCACGAGTGTCCCTCATGGTTGACCATTTGATCCAGATGCCGCAGAGTGTCTGCAGCGCCAAGCAGCTGCACGACATACGCCCGCGTATCTACCGCCATATTTTCGATTCAACCGGCAAGTGCGCAAACCGCCAGGAGCTTCCCTTGGCGGGACCTCAGGCCCTGTACCGGCTATTTGCCATGACCCGGATCCAGCTCCGTTTGTGGATGTTTTTGCATTATTGAGCTGACGCTAAAAACCTTTAAATTGTAGTTTAAAACCTTTATTGGGCACATCTTTTGATTTGATTTTTAAATTCGTTGCTTTAGAGCTGCATTTTTAGGGTTTGGGCGCCTTCTGGATCTGCTCGTTCACAGCAAGACCTTCTTCAGCAGCAGCCTTGGCCTTATCATGGAAGTCGTGCAGAAGCAATCGAGTAAATTAGGCATACGTTTTTGTCTGGTCTGTTAAGGTCGGCTAGTGTCGGCTAGACTTACCTTAACGCTATCCTCGTTGAAAAATTCCTTGACCTTTGCCAGCAGGCCGTTGAGCTGAGCCTCAACTGGCTTGGTGGGCTCCTCACGAGGCACGCGAGCACACATGCACACCTGAAAGCAGTGTTACAGTAAAACCACAATCAGTCAAAGCAATCTTGGCTATTTTTGGTTTTTAGTTTGTTTCACTGGTCCTGCTCTTTACTGAAGAACGTTGACTTGAGTACTCATAGCGACAGATCGTTTTGCGTCGCAGCCGAGATGAAACCGAGAGCCGGGCTTATTACCGGCGCCACTATCAAGGTCAAGTGCTTAGAAGCGTACGTCCCGGTCCGCCCAGATAAGAGAGTGGAGTGAAGTAGAGTGCTCAAAGTAGAGTTATAGACTATGTAGCATACTATGTGGGCATGGAGGACATTTTACTACCCATTTAGAGCTCTGGCAAATGGTCGAGATAAGAATTTATATAAAAAACGAGGGTGAACGTTGTGAGTTGCTGCGGACACCGCAACTCTACGGTTATACCCGATACTAAGTCGGTATGGCTCTCCTCCGGCAGATGGCGCTAATATTTAACGACACGACAAAGAGTGCGTGCGAGAGAGACAGAAAATCAGTCTGAGCGTGACGTCGGGCGCTGCGTAGCCACTGCAAATTGATTTGTTCCTTTTGGCTATAAAAATGATCTGATCTGATCCAGATTCAGCAATCTAATAGATATGGTCATTATCTATGATTCTGCGTTTTTAGTTTTCTCGAATGTGCAATATTGTTGATGCAACAGATTTTCGTCCTTTGTGTGGGCGGAAGGGGGTGGGGCGAAATTTTGAGATATACGTTTTATAGTGACATCTTAAAGGAGTGTGTGTACCAAATTTGGTTACTCTAGCCTTAATAGTCTCTGAGATTTGTGGTTGCCTCAGATTTTCGTCCTTTGCGGGGGCGGAAGGGGTGTGGCGAAATTTTGAAACAAACTCGTCTCGGTCTGATATATTAGGAGTGTGGATACCAAATTTGGTTGCTCTAGCTTTTATAGTCTCTGAGATCTAGGCGCTAATGTTTTACTCTAAGCAAAGCCGCCTATGCTACGTGTGTGTTAGAGAGAGACAGGGCGAGAAAAAAGAAAAAATGAAATTGTTTTCTTGATGCTGGCTATAATAATAATACGATCCAATTCAGATTCTGCAGTCTAAAAGATATGGTCATTCTCTACGATTCTGCGTTTTTGGTTTTCTCGTATCTCTAAAATTGCCAAAGATTGTCACTCATTTTGAGTATCGGGTATAAAAATAGCCAAGATTGCTTTGACTGATTGTGGTTTTACTGTAACTCTGCTTTCAGGTGTGCATGTGTGCTCGCGTGCCTCGTGAGGAGCCCACCAAGCCAGTTGAGGCTCAGCTCAACGACCTGCTGGCAAAGGTCAAGGAATTTTTCAACGAGGATAGCGTTAAGGTAAGTCTAGCCGACACTAGCCGACCTTAACAGACCAGACAAAAACGTATGCCTAATTTACTCGATTGCTTCTGCACGACTTCCATGATAAGGCCAACGCTGCTGCTGAAGAAGGTCTTGCTGTGAACGAGCAGATCCAGAAGGCGCCCAAGCCCTAAAAATGCAGCTCTAAAGCAACGAATTTAAAAATCAAATCAAAAGATGTGCCCAATAAAGGTTTAAACCACAATTTAAAGGTTTTTAGCGTCAGCTCAATAATGCAAAAACATCCACAAACGGAGCTGGATCCGGGTCATGGCAAATAGCCGGTACAGTGCCTGAGGTCCCGCCAAGGGAAGCTCCTGGCGCTTTGCGCACTTGCCGGTTGAATCGAAAATATGGCGGTAGATACGCGGGCGTATGTCGTGCAGCTGCTTGGCGCTGCAGACACTCTGCGGCATCTGGATCAAATGGTCAACCATGAGGGACACTCGTGGGGTAGTCGAAAGCAATAGCTGGCCGCTGACGGTGATTTTTTCCCCAGCTCTTTTCAGACGTAGACGCAGCACCCAATCCTCCTCAAAGGCACGAATCGTCTGTGGGGATCGGGATAAGAGATCATCAGAGGTATGCTGCAGACGAGTTCTGGTTCTCCAAAACCTTACCTCAGACTCGAGGGTCCGTGGGTGTAAACCCTCTGAGCGGTGTATCCACTTCATTCTCAAGGTGAAAAATTCCACCCGGCTAGCACTCAGCACCCGATGGAGCTGCAACACGGGCTTTTGGGCCTCAAGCTCCCTGTCTTCGACATGCAGCAGAATATCTAGGATCTCCTTTACCTGCTTCTGGGGAAACCCACAGTCGGAATCATGTGAGACGCTGTCCTTGTAGGAGCCCTTCCAAGAACAGCCCACGCAGTGGTACTTCCAGCAAACCACACGTCCCTCACAAACGAACTCCAAGTGTCTGGAGAGATCTTTCCTATCTGAGAACTGGTCATTGCAGCTGAGGCAGCTGATGGGTAGCTCCCAGAGCGTCTGGCGCACCACTAGATTCTGCTCCTGATCGTAGTTTCTAATGAGCGATCGACAACTGGGGCAGCAGGCACGCGTTGTGGAACCTCGCGGCACACAACGCACACCAGTATGTTATGCAGTCGCTCACGAAGATCGGAGACGCCACCACCCGAGGACCCGCCGACCTCACCCTCACTGCTGTCCATAGTAGTCGAAATCTCATTCAAAGTACTTTCATCTTTACTTGCAACATCTGACAATCGCTGCCTCTTGGCGGCTGGGGGCTGCTCGTTGTTGTTGTCATTGGGGTTGGCATTCGACATTCTGAAGGGTATTTCGGCCAGCAGCCTCGGCCTGGCTTTACAGTATGTGTGCGTGCTTTATTCAACAAATCTGATTGCCTGTGTGTGGGCGGAAGGGGATGTGGCGAAATTTGGACGCAAAACGGTCAAGGTCCGATATCACAGGAGTGTGGATACCAAATTTGTTTGCTCTAGCTCTTAAGGGTTTTGAGATCCTTGAACTCATATTTTGCAATTGGCAAAACCGACCATGAAACCTGTGTGTTAGAGTGAGACAGAGCGAGAAAGAGTGATATTGTTTTCGTGATTCTGGCTGTAATAATTATACGATCTTGTTCAGATTTTGCACTCTAGAAGATATAGTCATCTTCTACGATTCTGCGTTTTTAGTTTTCTCGTGTCGTCGAAATTGTGAATGCCACAGATTTTCGCCCTTTGTGGGGGCGGAAGTGGGCGGGGCAAAGTTTTGAAATATTTTTGGAGCAGTGACATATCACAGAAGTCTGGATCCAAAACATCGTTGCTCTAGCTCTTATAGTCTTTGAGCATTAGGCGCTGAAGGGGACGGAAAGACGGACAGACGGACGAACGGACAGACAGACAGGGCTCAATCGACTCGGCTATTGATGCTGATCAAGAATATATATACTTTATAGGGTCGGAAACGATTCCTTCTGGACGTTACACACATCCACTTTTACCACAAATCTAATATACCCCAATACTCATTTTGAGTATCGGGTATAGAAAAACGAGGGGAACGTTGTGAGGGGGAACTGCGTAGCCAGTGCAAATTGATTTGTTTCCTTTCGCTATAAAAATGATCTGATCTGATCCAGATTCAGCAATCTAATAGATATGGTCATTATCTATGATTCTGCGTTTTTAGTTTTCTCAAATCTGCAATATTGTGGATGCAACAGATTTTCGTCCTTTGTGGGGGCGGATGGGGGTGGGGCGAAATTCTGAGATATACGTTTTATAGTGACATCTTAAAGGAGTTTGTGTACCAAATTTGGTTACTCTAGCCTTAATAGTCTCTGAGATTTGTGGTTGCCTCAGATTTTCGTCCTTTGCGGGGGCGGAAGGGGGTGTGGCGAAATTTGGACAGGAAACGGTCAAGGTCCGATATCACAGGAGTGTGGATACCAAATTTGGTTGCTCTGGCTTTTATAGGTTCTGAGATCCTTGAACTCATATTTTGCAATTGGCAAAACCGACCATGAAACCTGTGTGTTAGAGTGAGACAGAGCGAGAAAGAGTGATATTGTTTTCGTGATTCTGGCTGTAATAATTATACGATCTTGTTCAGATTTTGCACTCTAGAAGATATAGTCATCTTCTACGATTCTGCGTTTTTAGTTTTCTCGTGTCGTCGAAATTGTGAATGCCACAGATTTTCGCCCTTTGTGGGGGCGGAAGTGGGCGGGGCAAAGTTTTGAAATATTTTTGGAGCAGTGACATATCACAGAAGTCTGGATCCAAAACATCGTTGCTCTAGCTCTTATAGTCTTTGAGCATTAGGCGCTGAAGGGGACGGAAAGACGGACAGACGGACGAACGGACAGACAGACAGGGCTCAATCGACTCGGCTATTGATGCTGATCAAGAATATATATACTTTATAGGGTCGGAAACGATTCCTTCTGGACGTTACACACATCCACTTTTACCACAAATCTAATATACCCCAATACTCATTTTGAGTATCGGGTATAAAAATCGCGTACGAGTA